CCTACCCTGGACTCTGTCAGGGAAAATCACAGTGTTAAAAATCCCCTGCTAAACAAATCCTTAGTGGATATTCATAGGAATTAGTTGATTTATCAATGACTCTGAATGGTAAATTCTACCCTATATGAAGAGACTCTTCTTATATCAACTATATCTCTCCTTATGGTTAAGGCAACAAGGTACTGATAACATAATTCTAAAGATTTAAGGTGTTCTCCAGTGGTAGTTGTGGATGCCAATGTTAGAAGTCTCACTGGGATCTCAAGACATCATCTTTCAATCTCTCTCTCTCTCTCTCTCTCTCTCTCTCTCTCTCTCTCCTTCTTCCTTTCTCTCTCTGCTTTAGCTTCTTGTTGAGTAAAATTACAATAATAGAATCTACCTCTTCTGATTATTGTGGTCACCCAAGGAGAAAATTCTAGAAAGAGCATAGTACATGTTATTGCAACATCTGGTAGCTTCCCCAACAAGTATCCACATATGAATAACCCCAGAAATTTCTTATCAAGAATGTCACAACTGCTGATTCTGGTAATATCATGGTTACTATTGGGCTACTATTACAATGATTCACACCACTGCCATTCATAAAATTGTATCAACTCTTCTCTATAGTACTACAGCATTTAGCTATTTATTTCTTATGACAGCCTTTTATATGGAAAGGGGACTCATTATTATCAAATCTACTTCATAGATAAAAGAATTGACCTAAGTGATAATAACTAAGGGGATCACATGATAGCTCAGTCAGAGTTGCCACTTGGCTCTCAAACCAAGGTCAGCCAAGTCAAAATTGTACCATGACACCAAATGTAAAATGGGATCATGTGAAAATAAATCTCGAGTGGTATTGGTGGATGCCAATGTTAGAAGTCTCACTGGGATCTCAAGACATCATCTTTCAATCTCTCTCTCTCTCTCTCTCTCTCTCTCTCTCCCTCTCTCTCCTTCTTCCTTTCTCTCTCTGCTTTAGCTTCTTGTTGAGTAAAATTACAATAATAGAATCTACCTCTTCTGATTATTGTGGTCACCCAAGGAGAAAATTCTAGAAAGAGCATAGTACATGTTATTGCAACATCTGGTAGCTTCCCCAACAAGTATCCACATATGAATAACCCCAGAAATTTCTTATCAAGAATGTCACAACTGCTGATTCTGGTAATATCATGGTTACTATTGGGCTACTATTACAATGATTCACACCACTGCCATTCATAAAATTGTATCAACTCTTCTCTATAGTACTACAGCATTTAGCTATTTATTTCTTATGATAGCCTTTTATATGGAAAGGGGACTCATTATTATCAAATCTACTTCATAGATAAAAGAATTGACCTAAGTGATAATAACTAAGGGGATCACATGATAGCTCAGTCAGAGTTGCCACTTGGCTCTCAAACCAAGGTCAGCCAAGTCAAAATTGTACCATGACACCAAATGTAAAATGGGATCATGTGAAAATAAATGGAATTTTTTTTCTTTTTTTCTTTTTTTTTTTTTTTTTTAGAGATTTTTGCTATAGGGTGCATGTGCTTGACAGAGAGACAGAAAGCAAGAAATCACCCACCCAGGCAATGGCCATGCCACAATCTTTTCTCCTCCATTCACCTCTCAAGATTTTAGGCACACATGCACATGTACCCAGAAACCTAGTCTACATCTTAATTTTTCAGATGTGTTGGAGATGCCTATGAGGATTTGTTCTTTTTATGCCAATACATGCCACTGACCTCAGGTTGTCTTATCTGCTCCAGGACTGATCAACTTAATTTACCTGGCTCAGTGGGGAGGGGCAAGTAGTGCTGATATTGGTGATGCCATTTTACAGTGTCAAAATGTAGATAGATCTTGGACATTTCTTTGGGCAATGTGAATACAGCCCTTGGAAGGAGAAATTATGCCCTCTATTCTAGCAAGTCTGAAGACAACATTGGCCTGATCATAAACTTTAGCAAGCATATGATAGTCTGAAATCCACTCTAGGTTTCTTAAGGCTTTCTATCTTCTCTAGTTAACGTTTTGTTTTTTCCCTAACTAACTTCAGTGAACATTACTTTAGTGATTTTATTCTTTTTTTTTAATAATTATTTTATTTTATTTATTTATTTTTTTTAGTTTAAGCAGAGAGAGACAGAGGGTGAGAATGAGAGAGAGAGGAAGTGAGAAAGCAAGCCACCAGATTCAGGACTTGAACCCTGGTCGGCCATGTGGGAGTGTCCAGCGCCTTAACCACCATGCCACCTGCTGGTCCCGACTTTATTCTTTATATTGAGTACAAAATGAAACTGTTTTCAGTAACCAACGTTTTGCAGTGTAAAGTCTTTGGCCCTCTGATGGGTAACTTCAGCTGACATAGACTTCCTCGGGAGACCAACCCCCAGCTCCAGACTTGCTGCTGACTGCCATAATGACACAAGAGTAACTTAGGCTCAGATAAAGTTATGTCGCCCTCATCTGTCAAATCAAGTGGATGGTGCTTATCCTCTCTACTTCCTCTACTTTCTTATGGAAATACTAAGAACTTGGATCCCAAACAAGCGAATAGACAGAAAGTACTATGAAAATCGTACTATACTAGATAAGCAGAGAGCCATCATTATCACTGTGCTATTGCCATTATTATTTTGTGGTTAGCTCAGCTTTTCTTAACACAGAGCAGTTAATGAAGTGGCAACTGTATTGGTTACCCACTAGGAGGGTGAAGGAGCCAAATAAAGCTCTATTTTTATCCCATTTTAGTATCCTGTTTTTCTTTCACAACAGCTGTGTCTAGTGGGTTTTTCTAAATATTTTAATTACAGCAGCATTTTATTATACTTGCTCCTGACAAAATTCAAGCTAAGGACATTTCTTTTAAATCCTAAAATAGTAGATTTCCCTAAATGTTAACTTTCACCAGCAACCAAAATGCTATTACCTTTTATTGCATCTCTAAGTTTAGTGTCCAAAACTTTTAATGAATTATTTTCAGCACACATGTCAAAAAAAAAGTGCTTGAAAATCCACTAGTAAAGAGAAAAATGACAAAATCTATTAGTTACCAAGCTTTGGTTCATAAATTGGTCACCAGCTGAGCAGCATTTTTTTTGTATGGTCATCAGAAGTTGTGGGAATAGGAAATCTAGAAATTGACATTAAGACAGACCAAAAGAGTCAGGTAGACAAAGAGAAAGAGTATCTACTACTGACCCTGGTGTGTGGTCATTCTGTTTCTTCCTACAAGCATCTCAAATTGATTTGCTGCAACATAATCATCAAAAAGACAAGCAAACATCGTCTCATTAGAAATATCAATGTTGGGAAGCCAGCAGTTAGTGTAATAGCTATGTCGCTGAACTCCCACGTAGTCGACCGTGGTTCACGTCCAGGACCCTATGGCTTAAAACTCACTCAGGGCACGTGTGCGTGCGTGCCCAAGAACCTGAGAGGAGAATGGAAGAGAAGGGATTGTGGCATGACCATCCCCCCTGGGGGGTGATTTCTCGCTTTCTGTCTCTCTGTCTGTCTCTGTCTGTCTGGCGAGCACATGCGCCCTATGGCAAAAATCTCTCCAAAAAAAAAGAAAAAGAAAAAGAAAAAGAAAAAAAAAGAAATATCAATGTTGCAAAGTAGTGCATCCAGTCATTTAGGACTAAAAAATTGAAAAGGGTTTTACAGTATATAATCCAAAATGGTCATTTTACAAATGAGAAAATTAAGGCTCACCTAAGTAACATGAATGTCCTAGGTCATACAAAAGAAGAAAGAATAAGATGACTACTCAGGGAGTCTTAGTCCTAAAAGACTCCTGAATTTCCTATTCTGATACAAAAAATTACCAAAAGCTTAGTGATGTAAAGCAACACAAATTTATTGTCTCATAGTTCTGTAAATCAGAGGTCTAACATAACTCTCACCAGCTGAAACCAAGGAATCAGGTCTCCTGAAGACCTTGGGGAAAATTCATTTCCTTGTTCTTTCCAGCTTCTAGAAGCTGCCCATATTCTTTGACTGTGGCCCTTTTCTCCATCTTTAAAGGTAGCAATATTGCATCTTAGTGACCATTCTCAAGTATTAACATCTCTGACTACAACCAGGAAAGCTTTTCCACTTTCAAGGATGTGCATAATTAGACTGGGTCTAATCTTGAAAAACACAAGCAAATCAAATTATTTTGGTTTAGTGTTCCGATCACTTCTACAAAGTCTCTTTTGCTATATAATAACACATTCATAGGATCCTGAGGCTGAAGGACAGGTATCTTTTAGTGTAGGTGTCATTATGTTGCCTACCACAGGGAAGAGAAAAAAGAAGGTGAGTCAATAGAGAATTGGTTGGTTGAGCAAAAAAAATAGCTGAGCACACCTATTTTATGTTGGGGTTTCCAGTATTCAGACTCTGGATGGAGAACTGCATGTAATTGTTACAGTGCTCCCAGGACCAACTTCTGCAAAGGCAGAAAAAGAGGCAGGAATGAGCAAAAAGAGCTAGGCTTTGGGCTTGCCACCAGGCCTCAGCTGGCCTCATGGTGATTACTAGAATAGAATGGTTCTTCAGAGTTTTGATGAGGGTCTGGGTCTTTCAGTTTCTTTTCTTCCACTACTATTACCAGACCAAGAAGTCCTGAGATGCCAAGAACCTGAGAGGAGAATGGAAGAGAAGGGATTGTGGCATGACCATCCCCCCTGGGGGGTGATTTCTCGCTTTCTGTCTCTCTGTCTGTCTCTGTCTGTCTGGCGAGCACATGCGCCCTATGGCAAAAATCTCTCCAAAAAAAAAGAAAAAGAAAAAGAAAAAGAAAAAAAAAGAAATATCAATGTTGCAAAGTAGTGCATCCAGTCATTTAGGACTAAAAAATTGAAAAGGGTTTTACAGTATATAATCCAAAATGGTCATTTTACAAATGAGAAAATTAAGGCTCACCTAAGTAACATGAATGTCCTAGGTCATACAAAAGAAGAAAGAATAAGATGACTACTCAGGGAGTCTTAGTCCTAAAAGACTCCTGAATTTCCTATTCTGATACAAAAAATTACCAAAAGCTTAGTGATGTAAAGCAACACAAATTTATTGTCTCATAGTTCTGTAAATCAGAGGTCTAACATAACTCTCACCAGCTGAAACCAAGGAATCAGGTCTCCTGAAGACCTTGGGGAAAATTCATTTCCTTGTTCTTTCCAGCTTCTAGAAGCTGCCCATATTCTTTGACTGTGGCCCTTTTCTCCATCTTTAAAGGTAGCAATATTGCATCTTAGTGACCATTCTCAAGTATTAACATCTCTGACTACAACCAGGAAAGCTTTTCCACTTTCAAGGATGTGCATAATTAGACTGGGTCTAATCTTGAAAAACACAAGCAAATCAAATTATTTTGGTTTAGTGTTCCGATCACTTCTACAAAGTCTCTTTTGCTATATAATAACACATTCATAGGATCCTGAGGCTGAAGGACAGGTATCTTTTAGTGTAGGTGTCATTATGTTGCCTACCACAGGGAAGAGAAAAAAGAAGGTGAGTCAATAGAGAATTGGTTGGTTGAGCAAAAAAAATAGCTGAGCACACCTATTTTATGTTGGGGTTTCCAGTATTCAGACTCTGGATGGAGAACTGCATGTAATTGTTACAGTGCTCCCAGGACCAACTTCTGCAAAGGCAGAAAAAGAGGCAGGAATGAGCAAAAAGAGCTAGGCTTTGGGCTTGCCACCAGGCCTCAGCTGGCCTCATGGTGATTACTAGAATAGAATGGTTCTTCAGAGTTTTGATGAGGGTCTGGGTCTTTCAGTTTCTTTTCTTCCACTACTATTACCAGACCAAGAAGTCCTGAGATGCGGGATGCCCTGTGAAGAGAGATACAACAGGAGTAAGTCAACTCTCATCTTCCAAGGATAACTCCCAATAGCTAGGTTAATACGTCCTTCATTCATGAAGGAAGATCTAAGCAACAATCATAGCCACCACTATAGTACCTGTTTCTAAGCTTCATGTTCACATGTGGGAGGGAAAAAAAATGTCAGCTACATTCCATTTGGGATGAAACTTGATTGATAAATCTCAAAAGGTGATCCCAGGCTCAGAATTTAACAATCATAAAGAAAAGCCAGCCATGGTGGTATAGCAGTAATGCCACACTCTGCAATGCTGAAGTCACAAGGGAAGCTTCAGAGTTCATGACCTCAGATATTTCTGAATACGTCAGGTATGATGTGCATGCCTTTGATCCTAGTGGGTTGAGGCTGGGATTGATTATGGCATGAGGATACTCTTGGGGGATCCTCTTCTCTCTCTCTCTCTCTCTCTCTCTCTCTCTCTCTCTCTTTCTCTTTTTCTCTCCTTCTGTAGAAAGAAAGGAATAAACTTTTTTAAGTGGGGAAATCATTATATACTTTATCTACAGGCTAGGCAAAGTAGGTTTTAGAGAAGAGAAGAATCCTTGAGGTTGTATGAACACTGGCAAAAGGGTAAACAGGGATCACATGGTCATGGAAGAATGAGATTGAGTCAGAAATGGTGTAAACTATAGAGAAAAGAACAGGCAGATCATGCGATCTAGTGATCAAAATCTAAACCTGGCTCAGAAATACAGTGATCTGCCCAAACCATGGCAGAGAAGTGGCCACTGCCAGAGGTAAAGGGCAAGGAAGGTAATCCTGATATTGATTTAAAAGGATCCCAGCAATTTCTAGCAAGTACTGCTGGCGAAATTGTAGAATCCAGGGTCAGCCATGGAGATGGCTAAAGAAGAGGTAAGAAATCTCGGTTCAATAAAACTGAGGAAAGGGCAAGGACTTAATTACCAGGGAAAAGGGCATTCTGTATTACATTAAGCGGGTGGGCTACAGCTTTGTGTTATCTGGCTCATGAATGTCATTTGGCCCAAGCCCAAGTCTGCTCTTGGCACCAGAGTGAGAGATGTTCCAGTTGCCTGAGTAACAAGGGTTAGAATGATGTGAGGACAGGGCCATATGCTCACTCCAGGGGAAGTGCTTTCACATGACATCAGGGCTGACCTAATGTTCATTTTAACTGAATGGTATCTGTACTCAGCGAGGAAGGTACAAAGACTGATTTGTTCTCACCTCTGAACCTGCAAGGTTCTCACTGCCTCAGGTCAATGTTGAGCCCAGCATCTGCACAAGGATAGTTCTGCCTGTATGTCCAGATGGGCATCATGAATTCCCTAACTACCTCCACTTCTCCACACATCCAGGCTGCAAGTCTAAATAAAATGGTATTTAAGAAAGGGTCTTTCTGCATCATCTAGAAGTATGTATAGACATTGCACTGAAAAAATAAAATGTGTTTGATTCTTCTATAATAGATTCCTTGGTTCAAGAGTAAAGTATCTCAATACACTACTAACCATGGCTTTCCTGCAAGTCAGTTTTCCCATGTAAATATCAGCAATAACTCTCATAATAATGCCTTATAATTTTTTATAGGACTTCACATTTTGCCAAGCACTTTTACCTCTATTATTTCTTTTGAATTTCACAATACTACTTGAAGAGGGGAATTATTACGCCCCTCATAAAGTTGAAGAAATTGATATTCAAAGAGCTTGAGCACCTAAACTTAAGTCACAAAGTAAAAGTCTGAAATGGGACCCAAGCTATTGCTAACACGTTGTCATGAGAAATCTACCCCGAACAGATCTTTGCATCTGACAACACTGGAAGTTTGGGGAAAAGAGAACTAGAAAGAACAGAAAAGGTTGGGGTGGAGGAGAACGGTCTGCATTTTATATTTTATCTCAGGCCATCCTGACATGTTTTCAACTGTTTTTAACTTTACCATAGTGTTTTGAAGTCTTCAAAGCATTCTCACACTCTTATTTGATCAACTCAGCAACCTTGGGAGGGAGCCGGAGTAGATCTGACAGCTTAGGAAACTGAAACCCAGACAGGTTGGGTGACTGAGAATATATGGTCATTTAGTAGCAGAGTTAGAACTGGAACATAGATTTTTTTGAAAGCAGTAGCCTTGGGAATGGAAGGGATAGGAGCAAAGTATCTGCTGAAAGACGTAGGAAAAAAAGCATTTTATTAAAAGATTATTCAAAGTTCATTTGAAAGTAAAAAGAGCCACAATCAGTAAAATAATTTTGAGAAAGACTACAAAGAAGAAAACATACAGCACAGCCATCAAAATGCAGGATAATAAAAGTATAGTAGAAGTGTAAGGATATAGAGATCAATAGGATAAACTAGAAAGTCCAGAGAGAGACCCATGCATTTTTGGTATGTGATATGGGTGATTATAAATAAGGCAAAGCATGAACCCAATGCATAGTGTCACAGAAATTGGCTCTTTACATTGAAAAATGAACATTAGAGCTCTACATCACACACAAAATATTGCAAATAAATTCCAGATGGGTTAAGAGCTAAAGGTTTAAAAAAAAAAAAAAAAGAGCTTAGAAACTGTTGGAAGAAAATTCAGGAAGTTTTTTTTATTAATATCTGACCAGAGAAGAATTTTATCAGATTAAGAAAACACACAAAAGAAAAATATGAATAAATCTTTTTACATTATGATTTAAGAATTCTATATGACCAAAGATACCTTGAGTAAAGCTAAAAGACAAGTGAGAGATTTAAAGGACTTTTCAACTCAACCAACTAATGAAATATTAATATCCAAAATATACGTGTGGGACATGGCTCGGAAAGTAAACAATTCAATAGAAAAACAGGAAAACTGACCTGAGGCAGTGATACCTGGACCTGGTGGCTTAAACTCACACTGGGTGCGTGTGTGCCCAAGATCCCAAGAAGAGGAGGAGAAGGGATTGCGGCATAGCCATCCCCCCTGAGGGGTGATTTCTCACTTTCTGTCTCTCTGTCTTCCTGGCAGTGTGCGCGCCCTATAGCAAAAACTTCTCAAAAAAAAAAGAAGAAGAAGGAATAGAATAGGCTCAAGCAGAGTTATCTGGAGGATTCAGTTGCGCCCCTAATGCTTTATTTCTTTCATTTAAATAAATAAATAAATAAACTAAAGAAATAAAAACTAAAAAAAAAATTCATTAAAATAGTATTACAATATTCTGGGTATTGAATTCTGAGTGTTTCGTACAGTAAACAATTCAGAAAAGGAAAAAAAAAGTTAATTGCCAGTAGCCTCTCTTCTCCAGTGGAAATGATAAGGCAGTGGGGAGCAGGAGTCTGCAGGACAGCAGAGCTGACAGCTTTGAAAATGATTTTTCCATTGGATTTCTGCTCATGCACACACACAGAGACAGTCGCACACATGGGAACAGTGGGGTCATAGAAATAGCGTTGCCAAACAAGGTGGTCAAGGGGCACAGCAGGCCATGGCTGGCCCCAGCTCTGCTGCAGTAGTCCAGGCTAGGAATAGGGTCTGTAAATAGTAAATGGGGTAAATATGCTACGAATGTGTTTCTCCCAATTTAAAGTCAAGAAGTAGGCATGGTATGATGGCTATGCAATGTCACCAAAACCCAAGCTCTTTCTGCCTTTCTACTCTGCCATCCTTAGTCACATGGGTTCCATCTTTAAGGTGACTTCAAGATCCAAGATATACAGGACCAGCAGTTAGCGTAATGGCTATATTACTGAACTCCCACATAGTCTGCCGCAGTTCGAGTCCCGGACCCAGTGGCTTAAACTCACACTGGGCGCGTGTGCATGCGTGCCCAAGATCCCGAGAGGAGAATGGAGGAGAAGGGATTGCGGCGTGGCCATCCCTTCTGGGGCATGATTTCTCACTTTCTATCTCTCTGTCTCTCTCTGTCTG